GGCAGGGGAGCGGCAGCGAGCGAGAGGTTCGCTCTCCTTTCCTGGGCAGGAGGGAAGAAGGAAGCGGGAAGAAGGGGCTTTCATAGCCGCTGTGGAAGTTTAACGAGAAAAATCAAGAAGCGATTTACCGCACGTTTAAAATGCCTCACAACAGCTTTTAATACTGTTGGGTGGCATTTTGAAGTGTACCAGGTGCAGGTGGGAATCGAATCGTTGAATTGTTAAATTTTCTTTTGAAAAAGACTTTTTTTTTTTGCTTCATAAAAAATGCAACGTTGCCCTTTTTCGTTTTTGAGAAAAAGTAGTTCCTTTTAAGTGAAAGGGAAGACTCTACAGAAGCAATTTTGGAGACAGAGAAGTTGAGGCTCCTCTCCGAGCCCAGGCTTGCACGTCCGATGCTTCTGTGAGTCCGCTGTAATTACGTGTATGTATCGCATGAGAGTGAAAAAGGGGCTCCCTAAAACCCAAGAGCGGCAGAAACAAAATTCTTGGAATCCTAAACTGGTTTGGGTTGGAAGGGACCTTCAAGCTCATCTGGTTCCAACCCCCCTGCCACGGGCAGGGACACCTGCCATTAATCTAAACAACTTCCCGCTTTGGAAGAGAATTCCCACTGTAGCTTCCAGGTGACTCGGTGTGTTTTAGACACCGTCACGGAACAGGATCCTTATTTTCAGTAGCCGTGTGGATATATAGACACTGCCGGCGGCTCTGTGGTGGGGGACAGCCTGCCCATCAACTAACCATGTTAACCTCTCTGCTCTTCCAAAGAAAGTCAGTGGGTCTGGCAGCCCACCAGCTCCCCATGCCAACATTCCCAGTATTCCCAGCTTCCCCAGCTTTCCCAGTGCCAGTGGTGCCTCTTCATGGGAAATATTTACTTTTTTTCCTTGGGTAGCACATTTGCTTTAGCAGCCACCAGCATGAGTGAGTAGCAGCCGTGAGTAGCGGTGCTGTGCTGTCCCTCCTTGGCGGAGGTCTCGGTGGCCCCCGGGCACCGACGTGCCCCGTAACCCGTGCGGGGGTCACTCCGCTCCCGCTGACCCCCCGTTTTCTCAAGCTCTCAAACAAAACCGAGAAAAACAGCTTTGCGGGCAGCGTGAGCCAACTTTGGTGGTCACCAGCACGTGTCTCGCCCAACTGCTTTATCAGCTTTGAGGAGAGATACTTTTTTCCATAAAAGCATCAAATTTGGGAAAAATGAAAAGACCAGGTTTGGTCGAATGGTTTGGCAGAGGACGCAGCCTGTGGTCTGCGCGTGCAGACGCCTTGCCGTTCTGGAACGCGATCCGCAGCGCTCGCCGATTGACAGATTGCCGGGCTTGTCGGCATGGCCAAAGCCAGGTGGAATTTGGGGGAAAATTGGAAAAAAATTCTACATTGCTGTATGTATCCAGAACCGAAATCGAACTGGCCTAAATTGGGAAAGTGCCCCCTGAGATGACCAAAAGACAGAGTTTGGGGGTCTCTGCATGCTGTTATGAATGAGTGACCTTGATTCCATGTTCCGTGTGCCAACAGTGTAGACTGAGGAATGTTTCTGTCTGCAATAAAGGAAATTGTTGCAATTCTGTCAAACGAGTGACTCTGCCCACAGCGGCAGGGGACGGCAAGTGATTGACGCCTTATGTTTCCCCCCCCAAGAAATTCATCCTCAGTTCTTAAGTGTGTTGTTTGCTGTCACTCGAGAATCGCAGAGAAAAATGAGTTTGTTTTTACTTGTAAGGCTTTACTCAGTTGCCCAATTCGGCAGAGGAGCTGGACTATGGGGACCTCTCAGGTAAGGGCTAGTGCATAGGTAAACCGCTGCTAGATGCCGGTCCCACTCCGATTTCTGCATCTTGGCCATGTCGCATTGTATAGTCGCTGTGCTGTAGCCATCCCTCCAACGCACGGTCTCGCAGCTTGGATGTGCGCTGTTTTCTGTTGGGATTTCCCTCCCTCTGTTATTTTTGCCTTCTTTTTTTTCCTTTTTTTTTGTTTTCTGCTGTCGGCACCCATTTCTATGTGGCACCCTTGGGAGCGGGGCGGGAGGCGTGCGGAGCGGCCAGGCTCACCGGTGCAGGCTTCCTCCCGGCTGCTGTGCCGGCATTTTTTTAAACGCTGATTCGGAGACCGGTGCAGCCGAAACTCCGTGTTGGCCAAACTCTCTGTCCTGCCCTATTGTGCGAAACCATCGTTAGAAAGGGCGGCCGGCGCTGCCCGCGGCTGCTGGGCACTTTCTCACAGCACGAGTGTGGGACTGGGGGTGAAAAGGAGGTAATTGCCAGCGGAGGCAAAACCAGGTAAATGGTTGGAACCTCTTTTTGTCTGTGCTGGACTGGAAGTCACATAAATACATCCTCACAGCTGGTCCTGGCAAACGAGCACGAATCCAGGCTAAGAAATAAAAGCATCTTCAGCGGATGCCATCGGTACGTTCCAAAGAGGGGTCGCATCCGCGGTACGAATGCCATCCAAACCTCTGATCTTCACGTTTTGCCAGAGCCTTCCTGAGGGTTTTTAGAAACTCACCCCATTTTTTGAGTCCCACTTCTCCGAGCGTCTCCGCGGGCCCATTCCACCCGCTGCCCTCCCACAGGCGGGCACCAGAGCCCAGCTCTCGGCCACGGGATAGGATGAGCCCTGCCCCGCCAGCGCTGTTCCCATCGGGATCCGAACACGGGGCAAAAAGTAACACCAAAGAGCCAAGCCCCGAGTCCTCATCTCCTTCCACAAAACGCTTTCCCTTGATCCCATCGGATGGGCAGCGTCTCCTCCTGTAAGCCACTATAGGTATGCCCTGGCCAAGAGGTTAGAAATGGTGGATGAAATGGGTATGTTTGCTGACACCTGAGCGATGCCCATCATTGTTATTGCAGGCCTGGGCCCCATCTCCTGGGTAAGAAGCGCTTAGGTGTCTGTTAACGGTCACTGCCTGGATGGGAAATCATTGTTTTGCTCTGATAAGCCGCATTATTATTTTAATTTGTGTTTTTTGAAGAGCAACACGCCTTTTGGTGAACAGAAGAGAAGAACGGGAAACAATTCCGCAATGGAATTCCTCAAAATGGGTGTCTGCTAGCAGCCCTGCCTTTCCCTCGAGTGCCTCATCCGCACACGGTGCCGGCACCGCGGCCACGTGCGGCACGCCGAGCGGCTCGCACCGCCTCATGACTGTATAGCTCAATGTTTCGGTTTTTCGGAATTTGGAACGCCAGTCAAAATTGCCCCAAAACCGCAGGGAAAGCGGCGTGAGCGCAGCTGCTGCTGACGGCGAGCGGATGAGCGAGCGCCCGTTGCTACCATGCACCCATTTTGGAGCATCCGTTTTGACTACTGATTTTTTTTTTTGTCCCTAAGAATTCCAAAATTGTGCCTGTTGCTCTCTTGGTTACTTACGGACGCCCAAAGGGTTGTCGTACCAAGTCCAGCGTGGCACTAGAGAAAGAGCCCTGGGCTGTTCTCTGCCATGAACAAAGCTCTGCCCTCCATCCCATCACCCGCGCCCAGACCCCCCGGAATCCAAAATAAGATCCCGTTTGCGGACCGGGGTCGGCAAACTTGGGCTGTCAGCCGGGTGGTCCAGGTGAGTGCTGGAGCTGAGCTCTCCGTCGGGAATGCCCCCGCCGCTCCGGCGGGACCGGGCGCCCGCAGGACCAGCCCACCGGCGCCTGGGGACGCAGGGGTGCGTGCCCGCACCTCGGCTCACCCTGGACGGGCCGGGCTGTGCCGGCCGTGTGGGTGCCGCTGTGGTGATTGCTCAGTGTGCTGTTCCTTCCAGGTACTCCTGTCCCGCTCAATGCTTCAACGGAGGCTCTGCCAACTGTGCAATTAAGTAACGCGTCCCTTGCCTTCCACCCAGGTAGCTTCCCGACCTGTACCCGCTTCTCCTGGTCGAGCTGTGTGTGTCCGTACCACTCGCAATCCTCCTCTCCTTCCTGCCGTACGGGGACCGTAGGGTACAGAGAGGGCAGAGCTGTGCGCCATACGTCTGCGTGTGCGTGCAGGGATGCGCAGACGTGCGAGGTGCTCCAGGTGTAGGCACCCGGCAAGCCTGCTGCCGGTGTCCCGGTCCCCTCTGGCACGGCGCGGCGCGGCCTTTCCACTTTGCTCGAGAGCGTTGGTGCCCCTCTTGTAAAAGAGGGAACAATCAAGGCGGCCCCGCGTCGCCCTCGCATCGGGTTTGATTAACTAATCAAAACCTGATTAGCACCTTTGTTCCAGGGGGATGCTGATGAATCAATTGCTATTGATTGCGAGCGGGGCTGAGCTTTCGAGCAGAGAGGGGTCTGGAGGAACAGCCGCGGCACGCCGAGCACCTGTCAGAGCGATTAAATTTATTAAAACAAAGCGCATTATTTTTTATGAAGCGATCTTGAAATGGGTCACTGAAGGGGAGCTTATTGATTGAAGAAGGATGAACTCCTCGAATTTCTCTGCCTTAAATTAGAACAAATTCAATTACAATACGACAAACAGGTTGAGGCTGCTCTTCACCAGTCCGTCAGCGAATTAGAGCAGGGGTGGCAGGCTTAGCGCCGCGCCGTAGCGATGAATAACATTATTGCTCATCCCGTCGCGTGCAGGCGGTGATCGCTGTCCTCCCGCGTCGGGGATAAGCGTTTTACGGTGTTCCTGAGATGGGGACAGCCCAGGCTTCCCCCAGCCCTGCCCTGCCCACCAGCACCCCACGCCAACCCCAGCTTCTAGTGCTGCTCCATCATTTCGAGAGCTTCATTTAACCACAAATTCAGGGGGGAAATGTTAGTGCCAGCCTTAGGCTTTCTGCCTCGTAGCAAAGAGGAATACTTGGCTTCCCAGTTTGCCCAGAAGCACGGGAGTGACTTAAGGCCATTGGCACCTGCCCTGTGGCCAGCAGTGACGTGGGAGCTAAAGTCACCTTGGTGCACTGATTATTTAGTAAACTAAGCTTCGACAAGGGGAAGGAAAGATCACTGAGTTAGGAATTCTTCAACGAGATTGATTTAGGTTTTCCTTTCCCCACCTTGATGCAGATGTGACGTTAACATCTGGGAGGTGCGGTGGCCGTCGATGGAGTTAGTGCGTACAGACTTGCATATGTGCACGCACAAATTCGGCCCGCGTTGACCTACGTCAGTAGCTGGAATTGGATTTTCACCCAGAAACAGAAGATAAATTTTTGTGGGAGTGCAGCTATAAATCCAAATATACCCAAGTTCACATCTGTGCTATGTTTTCAGAGAAAGCCCTGTCGGTTTCCTGCTCTTACAGCACCGGTGCATGTAGGACAAGTTCAGGACTGTTCAGAGATGCCCCAAACCGTTAGGAAGCATTGGCCTAAGCAGGAAGGAAGGTGAGGAGTGAGGAGAAGAGATGGGAGCACCCACGCAGCAGGTGTTGGAGCCAAACGCGCACGTTCCGGAGCAGAGGTGGGATGGGCCACATCTCCGAGTGCTGCCCTCGCTTCACACCACTGGTGTTGAGCGATGGAGACCCTTAATGGGAGCAGCACTGGAGCACACAGGGAAAGCAGTGGGAGACGCCGTTCCTCTTAGTCTTGAGGTGCTACCGCTTCGGGAAAGAGGGGAAGCTGGAATAGACATAGATACATATACATTTAAAAAAAAAAAAACACCCTCATTAAAAGAGAATTGAGTGGGACGCCGTTCCTCTTAGTCTTGAGGTGCTACCACTTCGGAAAAGAGGGGAAGCTGGAATAGGCATAGATACATATACATTTTTTTTAAAAAAAAAAACCTCGTTAAAAGAGAATTGAGTGAAACCTTTTTATTGAGTAGCTGGGAGGAGAAAAGCCTTCCATCTGCTAAACCTTGCTGTAAGCGTTGACCCACATCGTTAGGGTGTTGCTGTTAAAATCTGCCAGCTTGTTTCCTGCTTGAGACAGGCGGCAGAAGGTTCTTTTTAAACAATTGCATCTGCAGAAACCTTAGAAAACTTGAGGTCATTAGTACCTTGATTGTTTCAGAAAGTGTCTCCCCCTGAAAAAAACCAACACAGAACCTGTAGGTTTAAAACTCGGACTGGTTTTAACGATTGGTTGACCATACCTACACGAAGATCACCAGCTGAGCACCCGCTACGCGCCGCTCCTGCCTCCCGGACTCAGTTCCGACAGTGCGGCGGTAGCGCGGTGATGGGTAGGAACCAGTCAACAACGTCTTTCTTTCCTGTCTACCTGCTGTGTCATGAACTGCGCTCTCTGTTTAAAGGAAAACTTCAGCGTTGGCGTTCCAGTGGTACAATCTCTTATTTTGTTGACTACACGAGCAATTGAATAAGCAAAAACGAAAGCAAAGCTCCCCGGGTCCGGCATTGGCCGCCACCTGCCGTGGGACCGCAGTGCTCTGCCGCTGTCGGGAGCGGCGCCGCGGACCGGTCCAGCGCAACATCGGATGAAATCCCAGCATCCCTCTAACGCGGGGCACGGCCGCGCTCTTCTCTCGGGGGAAACCTCTCAGCGGTTTGAAAGAAAAATTGACGTTTTTTCCGCATGCTACAAGTGGATTGTACCCTTCCCGCTGCCGTTTTCCTTTAAGGCGCTTTGGCATCGTGCAAAGCACCACCCCGCGCAGCCGCCCTCCGCGGCGGTGTGGAGTAGCCGCGGAGTAGCCGCGGAGTAGCCACGTAGGCGTGTGCATGTTGGCCCCAACATGCGGCCGTGTCCGCACCGCTCCTCGCCCTTCCCTCCCTCCTCCCGCTCCCACCGCCAGAAGCCCGCAGGCAAACCAGAAACGGCAGCGTCGGAGAAAAATTCCGACTGCTGGGTTTCGGGGCCAGCGTGCTCCAATATATATTAACATCTTAATGGGAAAGCGCTGCATGTATACATTTACCACTCTCTGACAAGAGGGAATTAAATGTCAGAAGGATTTGTAGCATCTATAATTGAATTGGTGCTGAGAAAAGCAAATCTTAAGGAAGAATAACATATTAGGATTAGCAAATAATGTGGCATTTTGTCAGTTCCTGCCATCTCGTCTGTTCCCTCTTCAGTAATAAAGTTGTGATTTCTTTTTTAATCATAGATAGGAAGCGGGAGAAGCTTTTGTGAATCGGAGACAGCGTTTTAAAGCAGATTCCGGGTTTTAGGGTCAAGTCTCTCTTCCTTGGCACAAATTTGGGGAACGGATTCTTTGCTCCCTAGACCCGACACTCTCTTTTTGTAATCACCAGAGGAATAACGAGTGTCAGAAAACACAACGGCCGCTCTCGTGCCGGTGGCGTACGAATGGATTTGCCGTGCCTGGCCTTGCGCGCTGGAAGGCGGAGCTGCGTTGGCGTTGGGCAGCTGCACGGGAGCACAGGGAGCTGGATGGGATGTGGAAGATGAGGTGGAGAGGAGATGCTGGAGGAGGAACATCTGGCAAAGGCGGCT